GAGAGAGAGAGAGAGAGAGAGAGAGAGAGAGAGAGAGAGAGAGAGAGAGAGAGAGAGAGAGAGAGAGAGAGAGAGAGAGAGAGAAGAGCCCTTTCATATTATTCAGAAAACCCCTGCCGTTACTTCAAAAGGCCCCTGCCAAAAATTAGCAAGGGGCTCCGCGGCAAGAAAAGGGTAATCGCTGGGCTTGTAGGAAAGCAGTAACAGCCATCTATATATGGTGTAGCTTCGAATTCAGGTCCATGATTCACCACCTACGGGTTGCTGACTTACTAACTCGGCATGTGATTTGCATGGCTTCACTCCACTTGCGAGGCTCATGACCTCGATATGCCCTACTGGACCCTATTTTCAGTACAGTCCGCCTTCCTAAGTGAAGGCAGGCTCGACCAAGGCATACAGGCCCATATTTGGGGTCACCAGGCAACTGGGGAAATTCAGGCAGTTGCGCAGCGCCAGTTGGTTGAGAGCGCCCATGCCCAGGCTGCCTTTTTCATATGTAACTGAGGCAGGCCTTGGGCCAGATATGCAACAAAGGCCAAACACAGGCTGCGAGCAGTTGGGTACAGGAAACCACCACAGGCTCTGGGCCTGAYTCGTTCGGACTGGGGCTCAGCCTCACGGGGCCTACTGGAAGCTTCTGGACCGAGGCCCAATGCAGGCAGGCCGCACGCAGCAGGCAGGTCACTTCCATTTAGGAAAGTGACTGCCCCAGCACTCCTCATTTGGGCACTGGCTGCATGCTGCGCTAACGCTGGCCAGCGCTCACGTGCTCGCGGGCGAGCTGGATGACTAGGCAGCCATAGCCGAGTTGCGCTGCTGTATGCTGGATGGGGCGCATGGTGGTCCTTGGGTGCACGTGACATCTGTGAGTGGGGGATCGAGGTTGTGAGTGATACGAGAGACATACCTGGTGCTTGAGGCGACCGGCATTGTCCGGGATCTGCTCGTACTTCGGGAAGCTGTTGACGTCACCAGCGACATTGTGGATAGGCTAGATAGGATCTGCCATTTGTAGTCTGGGCGCAGAGCGCCAGATAGGATGTCGACATTGGTTCTTTGTTGATGATGATGAGAGTATTCAACATTGTCACTTATGAGTTTTTGCTGTGCTCTTATTTGGTGTAACTCGTGTTGCAATTCTGTTTTTGGTTCAAGGTCACGACTATCTGGTCTCATATGTATGATGCTGCTTGGTTTCTGAAGTTCACTATCGCTCATTTTCCTTGCAATTTGATATCGGAGCTGTGGTACGGTGCGCTCATCTGGCACTTGTTTTCTGCCTTTGCGGTACATGCATGAGGTCTGTTAGGCGAGCAGCCGTAGGGAGTGTGTAGTGAGGAGGGCGAAGACAAGCGGGCGACCCAGGAGGTGAGGGGTTCGCCAGGAAGGCTACGTGGTGAAAGTGGGTGTTCGCAGTGTGATCAGAACTACCTGATGTGCGGTTGATGCTGAGGCGGAACGGCGGAATAATGCTGGTTGTGCTGAAGCAGCGATTGGTCATCACAGTCGGCATCAGGTCATCTGGTGAGAATATCTGTGGTTGGGGGCAGCTATTTTGAGGTACGTTGCACCTAACCTTATCTACCCTCTTCGACACTTCTTACCGTGAGAATGTGTGTTCTGTCTTGAAAGTCCTCTCATGTGAGGAGTCGAGTGCGCTCAACCTTGAGAGTCGGCATTCTTCACGTGGACCATCTGGAAGGAGAGGTCGGAGCTATCTGAAGGGTCCTGGATGAAGCACTGGGTCACCGTCACCATGCCAACCCACCGGGAGTAGAGCACGCATGCTTTGCTGCTTTGTCCTTTGTCTGCTTGCTCCGCTGATAGATGGGTTATGAGGGGCAGGCCAGCCCTACAGGGGAGACCAGAACCGGGTGTCTGCGATGTTAAAGAATTCCTGAGGACTGCGGGGGCCGTCCTTAAATGCCTCCTGATCAGCCAATCGGTCGGTGTAAAGCTCGCTGCAAGCGAGGATAAACAATGTGCAGGGCTGGCAGCTCAGCATACACTCGGGGCACAGGGGCGTGCACACCTTTAGACACGCACATTGTTCTGGATAGCTCAGGGATGCTGACGTCAAGTGACCATCAAGAGGAACTGACGGAGGGGTAGATTTCAGGTGACAAGTTCGTGCTCAATTCCACTCTACAAATATCCACACAGACAATTCTATTTCTATTTTGATTAATTAGATGGACTCTCATTGACATCTAACAGACAGCAATAGTTAGAAAAATGTTTTCTGTTCGTGGACTAATTAATTAAAAAATAGTTTCGTTTGTAGGAACCTGGACTACATGTTGGACCCAAATGTATATACTCTGACTTAGCCACCGATTGATTATTTTAAATCGGTCTGTGCATAACGCTGTGGTAGGCATCGAGTGTGACCTAGTGCAGATTGTCTATAGTTTTGTAGCTTATTAGTGACAGGGAGACCACTAGCGAGGACGACAGGATCTTGCGATCGCATAGACGCCCGATAGCCCACGTGGCATTAGGACCCAAGGGTGACACGTTACTGTTCCGCCAGCTTAGGGAGAGACAGCAGCAGCAGCGGAGAGCTAGGGCAGCAGAGGCCAGCAGGGCGTTCGCAAGCGAAGCCGCTGCTTCAGCAGCCATGGCAACTGCTGCGCAGCAGAATTCCCAAACCAGCAGTTCAGGGACCGTAGGGTCAACGATTGCACAGACCCTGAGTCAGTCCACAGGCGTTATGGCAAGCCAGCCAATAGTGTTGACCCCTGAAGAGGTCGCCATACAGCAAGCAGCACTTCGCGAGGCACAACTACAGAAGGCTTTAGGAGAGATAAAGGCGGAGAAAGAAAGAATGATCAGAAGAAGATCAAGGATGCAGCAGACACAAGCGGACATTAGTGAGTTAGAGGCGATGGACCTGACAAACATGGATGGAGATGTGAGGACCCTGCGTGCAGTCCTGCTAGATGTAGTGGAAATGCAGGACCATCAGATGGCTCTCTTACAGGACATCCAGCAGAGCCTGGCCGTGCTGGTCGGGCGAGCTCGGGCAGCACCATCACCATCAGGGCTTGGTGCCTGGCCTGTGGCACAGCCTCCTACTTTCGTCCCACCGGTGACAGGGGTATCCCCATATGTCTCTCCAGCATCAGTCCAAGCCGCTTCCCTAGGTATGCCGCTAACAGGAGGGTTTTCAGCAGGTCCTAGTGTACAGGTTCCTGTACAGTCAGTGTATTCCCAACCTCCGTCGCAAGTTGTCGCAATTGGCAGCCTGCTGTCTCGCAGCCGGCACAGCCGCAGGGCACACATCCCCAACAGTAGCTAGTGCAGCAACCTACGCCTCAGGTTCCACAGCCCGGAGTGGGGCAGGTAACGGGACAAACACAGTGGGTTCCAAAGACGGCCATCGCCTCACCCAAACCCATTTCAGGAGACAAGAGCGGCGAAGACCTTGACACATGGTTGAGGTCAGTGCCAGTCTATGTTAAGTGCAAGTTAACCTTGCCGCACGAAGTGCTTGTGACTGCCTCCTATCTTGAGGGAGTGCAGCAAGATGGTTAAGCGGGCTAGTGCAACTAGAGGGGTACGGACATGACTTCCGCGCTTGGGCAGTCAACCAAAAAATGGAAGACTTCCTGAAGATGGTGGAGGAAAGGTGGCATGATCCTCAGGAGGCCTAAAAGGCCACTGACGCGATCCTGACTCTGAGCAATAGACCGTTCAAGTCAGTAAGGGATGCCACAGACGCAGTAGAGCGTCTGATCTGTGTACCTGGAGTGTGCTATGACCCCCAGGTCTTGCTAACCACTTACCTGAGATGTCTCCCTATGCCACTCAGGAATCAGTTGGTTGGCGAGGCAAACATCAATGTACACAACTTCCCCTCGTTTAGCAAGAAGGCTCTAGACCTGGATGCAAAGATAAGGCATGGGCACCAACCCACAATGGATGGTAGGAAGAAGTCACTGCTCCCACCTGGAAGGCGAAGGGCCGTATTATGTTCGTAGACAACGATGGCTCAACCATTGAGTTGGACGACATCTTATAGGAAGGAGTAGGTTCAGAGGCGGGCAGCGTAGAAGCTTCAGGGGGTGGAGTAGTCGTTGCCACAATGCAGAAAGGTAAGGCGACCGGTAAACGCCGAGGCTCCCGGTCTAGGAGTCAAGTTGACCCCAACGCTCCTCCATGGGAGAAAGCGGGTCTCACAGAGGTCGTGTGGAGAGACCGGTACACCAGGTAGGCATGTATTCGTTGTGGTCAACATGGCCATAACCAGTTCAAGTGCCACAATAAGAAGGTGACGGAAAACCAGGAAAAGATCCCGCCTACAATGGGGCAGGCGTTGGGATCCTCCGCTCCCATAGGTAGCAATGTTGCTAGTAGTTTTGGAACTGCTCCGGGAAACACGTCGGGCCAGTAGGAATAGTAGTTGTTCCTGCTAGGATCGAGGTGGTGGACACGCCCTCACCATCTCGAGAGATGGCCCAAGCTGCTGACTCCATTGTCGTCCCACAAACACATTCAGACCCGACGATCCTCTGTTCGCTGAATGTGTTCGAGTCCTTAGAGGAGCTAGATGAGGAGTGGTCTAGATCGGACCCACTAGCTTCTTGGACGGCCATGGCCAAAGCCCCTAAGGGTGAGCTGTTCGCCGACGAGGTAGTCATCGGCGGCCGCAAGGCCCGGGCCTATTATGACACTTGCTCGACGCAGAATTTTATTAGTCGTGCATGCGTCGAGAGGCAGCGCTTACAGGGCCAAGTGCAGCGCCTGAGTCGACCTATGGAGTCGACCTGTGCCAACAAACAGCGCATGGTAGTCAACGACTACCTTAAAGAAATTGAGTGTCTTTCCCGTACGCGGGAGGGGAATTGAGGCATCGTGTCTCGTTCCTAGTCAACGATGATCTCCCCATGGATATCCTGTTAGGTATGTACTACCTCTCTGTGGCACAGCCCCAGTTTGACTGGGACCGAAAAGTGGTCAAACACACTTTGCCCGAAGGGGGGACCGCCAGATTACGAAAGTTTAAGGCTAGTAGTCCGATCGAGTCCTACGGATGCATGTGTGCGGCCGCGTTTTATAATTATTATAAGCAAAATCCGGAGGAGGGTATGTACTTAGTCTATGTCTCTGCAGCCGCGTTCTATAATTATTATAAGCAAAATCCGAAGGAGGGTATGTACTTGGTCTATGTCTCTGCATCAAACGAGCCGGTGAAAATGCCGTCGGAGATAGAGGGAGTGATCGCTAAGTACCCTGATCTATTTGAAGAGCCAAAAGGGGTTGTCGAGAGGGAGGTCGTCCACGCGATAGAGATTATCCCAGGGTCTAGCATTCCGAAGGGTAGGATCTATCGGATGTCTCCAGGCGAGTTCCATGAGCTTTGTCGGCAGCTCAAGGAACTCGTAGAGAAGGGTTGGATCCGACCTATTGTCTCCCCTTACGGGTCTCCAGTTTTATTTGTATCGAAGAAGGGGGGAACCTTGAGGATGTGCATTGATTATAGGGGCCTCAATGCCATCACTGTGAAGAACGCAGAGCCCCTACCGCGCATCGATGACTTGTTGGACCGAGTGCACCGGTGTCAGTACTTTAGTAAGATAGATCTGAAGTCCGGGTACCATCAGATTGCAATCCGGTCGGAGAATCAACACAAAACCGCTTTTCAGATCAGGTACGGTCTGTACGAGTTTGTGGTGATGCCTTTCGGCCTTTGCAATGTTCCTGCCACCTTTCAGCACGCCATGAACCGGATCTTTCATCACTACTTGGACAAGTTTGTCATCGTGTACCTCGATGACATACTTATCTTCAGTAGGACTGTCGAGGAGCACGTTGGTCACTTAGACAAAGTCCTTAGCCTCCTTCGACAGCACTAGTTCAAGATCAACGGGGAGAAACGCGAGTTTGGTCGCACCCGGATCTTGTATCTGGATCATGAGATTTCCACGAAGGGATTGAAGCCCGATGACGCGAAGGT